TCACATTAATCTTGTTTTTAGTTGAAATTGAGTCAATGTATGACCTTTGTCTACCAGTCAGGTATGACTCATGCTCTTGCACAAAAACGTCAGGTCTAATCCGATGCTTTAAGTGATCCCTTCTTTTTACAATAAGATTCCATGCCTCGACTGCCCCAGCTGTTCGTGTTCCTTCACTTCCTATTAATATATTGTATACATATAGGGTAAATAATACTTAGTATTTAAATTCTATAATACCTCTTAATATGCTTGTCCAGAAAGGGACTGTAGCCAACCACTTATGCTTCATTAAATTAACCCATTTTGGTTGATACAGTGGATTGCAATCCCCTTGTTTATCATTCATTTCAATTATAATCTCATTTAGATGTGCTTCAAAAAAGGCTACAAAAGGCTGTTTACACTGACGTATAATGTCCTCCTCTTCTGATGTCATTTCAGATATGACATTCATTTCAATTTCTGTACAATCAAGGGACAAAAAGTCATCTGAATCACTATTGCTGTGCATGCCTAGGCCTTCAAAAGATCTTTGAAGACTCTCAAATGATTCTTGGACATTACTGCTTATATTCACAGACCCAAAAACTACATAACATTTAATAAGAATGGACAAGAAGTCGCTTAACGAATGAGAATTGACAAGGAGTGAGAAGCAAAACATAGAAAATTTGTAGGCATTCTTTTCAGTACTAGAAATAATAAAAAATGTTATGCAATGTATCCTTTTATCATTATGCTTAACTTACAAGAGCTTCTTCATATCATGCTTAGCACTATTCATGACATGACTGATGCAAGCAAAAATAAACAGCTTATCATGATCATCATTAGATTGGCTCTGAAGTGTCATTTTCATGAAACAACGATATAAATAATCATTCAGAGTCTCAACATTAAAAACCTGAAGGAAACTTAATAGCAATACTAAACTTCTATCTATAATGATAGATGAGGGCATTGTTGTATTGCTGTAGCCATATAACTTTCCTTCATGTCTCCGGAAATCTTGCAAAAAATGTGACACAGCCATTACTGAATGCTCAGTTGTTATGAGTTCTGCCACAGCAACTGGTGGGCATTTTTGAGATGGATGGTCAATGACAAGAGAGTAGTACAAACAAGTACTCTTTTCATACTGTGTGCCTTTCAAATTTATAAGTGTTCCAGTAGCATCTAAATACACGGTTTGTTTTTTGGCCATGTAGTGGAAAATTCTAATGCCTTCCTCTGAAAAAAGAGACACACTGAATGGTTTTGCAGTAATTCTTCTGATAAGGCCCAGATAATTTCTATCACTGTTAGCAGTGTGTTCTTCATCTAATAGCAGCAAAGACATAATCAAATTCTTATGATATATTCTATCCCCATTGGCTTCTGATGAAATCTTCTGTATTACATGAAGAGAGGAACTCACTTCATCTCTTTTACCTGATTTAAGTTCATCATGCGATAGTGAGCTGAATTTCTTGTTGTACCAAGCTGATGGAGTGGTATGTTTCAACTCCTCTTTCAACACTTCTCTGTTGGAGCCCCTAATCTGCCTTGCTTTC